TACATTAGATAAGCAATTTTTTCGTAATATTGGAATTCTATTGGAAGAAGTTTTGCTTTAAAAAAAAGGATATCGAATGCTCCCTTACCGGGGCAAAGTGGATAAGACGGATTACGTGTTTTTGTAAGACAAGAATACTATTTAATAAGGTCTTAGATGCAGTTCCCCAAGAAGTTAATCCATGCGTTATAAAAGGTGCAATGAGGGATTTATAAATATCAAGAATACCTCGATTAGGAACTAAATGTCTTAGCCTCGCAACTAGACCGACATTTTTACTTAGTTTTGTTGCAAGGGTATAGATACGGTTTTCCAACTTAGATTCTCATCGATCAGTAACCAAGAAATTTAATGCAATTCTTATGCTCAAGAGTAACGTTCTTATTTTCTTCATTGTCAAAATATTAATTTGTGGCAGGTAATTAAGTTTTTTTTGGTATGGGTGAAAAATAACAAAGTTTGATTTCTTTCTGTTAAGTGTAAGTTTATTTGCGCTTATCCAATTCAATAGTTTGTTCAATTCAATATTTACAATCAATTCCAATGCCTTGAGATTTTTGTGAGAGTGTAGGACATTAGTATCACCTGAAAAAAAGAAAAAAATTAAGTTTCCTGGAGCAATATTGTATATCATTGACATATAGCAAAAAGAGGAGTGGCCCTAAAACGGTCCCTTGGGGTCCACCACAGCTGATTACTTCTTCGTCCGAAATATACGAGTTAATCTCAGTGGTTCGGGTACCACTGATTGACAATTCCTCGGAAGCCATAATAATTAAGTTTTTCAAGTATTATTTTATGGTCCACCGTGTCAAAAGCTTTCTTAAGGTCGATGAACACTCCACAAGAAAAAAGTCTTTTATCCATATTGGTATGGATGGATTCGACCATGTCAAGTATAGCATGTTCAGTTGAATGTGCTTGGCGAAAGCCATATTGGGATGAAGATAATAGCTGGTGTTTTCTATGAAAACTTTCATTCTATTGTACATAATTGTTTCAAAAACCCTGTTGAAGTTTGACAGTAATGAAATAGGTCTATAGTTGCAGGCATCTGTTTCATCATCAGTTTTGTAGATGGATATAACTTTGGACATTTTCAGTTTAGAGGGGTATGCCCCTAGAGTGACAGAAGTGTTAAACAAGTTTGCAAGGACAGGAGATATTATGTCACAAGAGCATTTAAGAAGTTGTGTAGGACAAGAGTAAAGGCCAGATGATTTATTGTTCGGTAATGATAAAATTTCAAGCTTCACTTCATGCGGAGTAACAGGTTTGAAGAATAACGAGGTGTCAGGTGATTTGGAGTTACCGAGTTATTCCATATGAGAGTGATAGCTTGAGGCAGTTCAGTTCCTAAGTTATTACCAACAGATGAAAAATACTTGTTTAAAATGTTGCGTATACGCAATGGGTCCTTGATAATTCTATTATTGCTCTGTGGATCTACTTTGCTAAGAAGCCACGC